AGTAGAGAGAAAGCAATGAAAACAAGAACATACATAGGTGTTGAGCTGGCGAACGAAGCTCGAAAAATTGTTGTGCTTGAAGTACTTCGGCAGCAAGTCTTTAGCAAACTCCGCAGAGTCCCACACGACGAATGTGTTGTTGTTGGGGCCCCACGACACTATCTTGTCCGTGCCGGGGTCGTCCACCATGTCGTACGTCTTCACCAGGAACGGAGGCGGCGCGTTCGCCGCCGGCATCGGTGCGGGCAGCGGAGCGGCCACTCCCCCGTCGCCTTCGCCGTTGGCTGCAGCCGATTTTGCGGGCGCGGCCTCCATATCAGAGCACTAAACTAAACAAAAAAAAAAAACTAGAGATCATTGAGCTAGCATTACACGGTATAGAATTTAGTAAACGACATAATTGGACTGATTATTGGGGATTTTCAGGAGTTTGAAAGAAGCAGGGGAAAAAACCCTAGAAATGGGAAATAAAATTGGGATATTGTTGTAAAAAGTGGAAAATAGAGTTTTGATATGTGACCTTTTTATTTTGTTTTTTCTGACGAAAGGGAGAGCGAGTGGTTGTACGATTCACAGGAAGAATAGGGTAATGACGAGAAAGAAATTTGGGGGTGAGTTTTTTCTGAGGGCGTGAAATGACGACATTGCCACTAGTCCCGTTGTCCGCATTTTTCTTTTGCATTTCTCTTTTCCTGTTTTTTCGATTTATTTATTTATTTAAAAATAAAAAAAAATAAGTGGAGAAAAATAAAAAAAAAATAAAAAAGAGTGGAAAAAAATCAAAAGGCCGGATTCTCGGAATCCGTTTTTCTTTGAAAAATGGATTTTGAAAATCCGTTTTTATTTATTTATTATTTTTTATTTTTATTTTTCGTTAAAAAACGGATTTTCCAAATCCATTTATATTTTTTATTTTTTTTTAATTTTTTTTATTTTTTAATTAATAATATAAAAAAATAAAAACGGATTTAAAAAATCTATTTTTATTTTTTTTTATTTTTTAATTAATATATATATATAGAAAAACTTAAAAACGAATTTTGAAAATCCGTTTTTAATTTTTATTTTTATTTTTTATTTTTTAAAAGATAACGGGCGATTACACTATAATTAACCGAGATTGTATTAATTCGACTTCAATTGGACTAATTCGAGTTCGATTACACTATAATTGACCGAGATTGTACTAATTCGACTTCAATTGGACTAATTCGAATTCGATTACACTATAATTGACCCAGATTGTACTAGTTCGACTTCAATTGGACTAATTCAAGGTCGAGTACACTATAATTGACCGAGATTGTACTAATTAGACTTCAATTATAGTGAAATCTCGGTCAATTATAGTGTAATCGACCTCGAATTAGTCCAATTGAAGTCGAATTAGTACAATCTCGGTCAATTATAGTGTAATCGACCTCGAATTAGTCGAATTAGTACAATCTCGGTCAAATATAGTTTAATCGAACTCGAATTAGTCGAATTGACGTCAAATTAATACAATCTCGATCAATTATAGTGTAATCGACCTCGAATTAGTCCAATTGAATTCAAATTAGTACAATCTCGCTCAATTGTAGTGTAATCGAACTCGAATTACTCCAATTGAAGTCAAATTAGTACAATCTAGTTCAATTATAGTGTAATCGACCTCGAATTAGTCGAATTGAAGTCGAATTAGTACAATCTCGGTCAATTATAGTGTGATCGAACTCAAATTACTCCAATTGAAATCAAATTAGTACAATCTCGGTCAATTATAGTGTAATCGACCTCGAATTAGTCGAATTAGTACAATCTCGGTCAATTATAGTGTAATCGACCTCGAATTAGTCCAATTGAAGTCAAATTAGTACAATCTCGGTCATTTATAGTGTAATCGTCCTCGAATTAGTCGAATTAGTACAATCTCGGTCAAATATAATTTAATCGAACTCGAATTAGTCGAATTGAAGTCAAATTAATACAATCTCGGTCAATTATAGTGTAATCGACCTCGAATTAGTCCAATTGAAGTCAAATTAGTACAATTTCGCTCAATTATAGTGTAATCGAACTCGAATTACTCCAATTGAAGTCAAATTAGTACAATCTAGTTCAATTATAGTGTAATCGACCTCGAATTAGTCGAATTGAAGTCGAATTAGTACAATCTCGGTCAATTATAGTGTAATCGAACTTGAATTACTCCAATTGCAGTCAAATTAGTACAATCTCGGTCAATTATAGTGTAATCGACCTCGAATTAGTACAATCTCGGTCAATTATAATGTAATCGAATTCGAATTAGTCCAATTGAAGTCGAATTAGTACAATCTCGGTCAATTATAGTGTAATCGAACTCGAATTAGTCCAATTAAAGTCGAATTAGTACAATCTCGGTCAAATTAGTACAATTTCGGTCAATTATAGTGTAATCGACCTCGAATTAGTCCAATTGAAGTCAAATTAGTACAATCTCGGTCAATTATAGTGTAATCGAACTCGAATTACTCTAATTGAAGTCAAATTAGTACAATCTCGGTCAAATTAGTACAATCTCGGTCAATTATAGTGTAATCGACCTCGAATTAGTCCAATTGAAGTCAAATTAGTACAATCTCGGTCAATTATAGTGTAATCGAACTCGAATTACTCTAATTGAAGTCAAATTAGTACAATCTCGGTCAATTATAGTGTAATCGACCTCGAATTAGTCCAATTGAAGTTGAATTAGTACAATCTCGGTCAATTATAGTGTAATCGACCTCGAATTAGTCCAATTGAAGTCGAATTAGTACAATCTTAGTCAATTATAGTGTAATCGAATTCGAATTAGTCCAATTGAAGTCGAATTAGTACAATCTCGGTCAATTATAGTGTAATCGAACTCGAATTAGTCCAATTAAAGTCGAATTAGTACAGTCTCGGTCAAATTAGTACAATTTCGGTCAATTACAGTGTAATCGACCTCGAATTAGTCCAATTGAAGTCAAATTAGTACAATCTCGGTCAATTATAGTGTAATCGAACTCGAATTACTCCAACTGAAGTCAAATTAGTACAATCTCGGTCAAATTAGTACAATCTCGGTTAATTATAGTGTAACCGACCTCGAATTAGTCCAATTGAAGTCAAATTAGTACAATCTCGGTCAATTATAGTGTAATCGAACTCGAATTATTCCAATTGAAGTCAAATTAGTACAATCTCGCCATCTCCGTCAAATTAGTACAATCTCGATCAATTACAGTGTAATCGACCTCGAATTTGTCCAATTGAAGTCGAATTAGTACAATCTCAGTAATTATAGTGTAATCGACCTCGAATTATTCCAATTGAAGTCGAATTAGTACAATTTCGGTCAGTTATAGTATAATCGACCTTATTTGTACATAAACGCTTTTCTGAGTTTTAATGAAGTTATTGTCGTTTGAAAAAAAAAATAGTATAATCGACCTCGAATTAGTCCAATTGAAGTCGAATTAGTATAATCTCGGTCAATTATAGTGTAATCGAATTCGAATTGGTGCAATTGAAGTCGAATTAGTACAATTTCGGTCAATTATAGTGTAATCGAACTCGAATTAGTCTAATTAAAGTCGAATTAGTACAATCTCGGTTAATTATTGTGTAATCGCCCGTTATCTTTTAAAAAACAAAAAATTAAAATAAAAATTAAAAACGGATTTGCAAAATCCGTTTTTAAGTTTTTTATTTTTTTATTTTTTTATTTTTTATTTTTTATATATTAATTAAAATAAATAAAAAATAAAAACGGATTTTTAAAATTCGTTTTTATGTTTTTTTTAATATTATTAATTAATAAATAAATAAAATATAAATTAAAAAAACGAATTATGAAAATCCGTTTTTTGAATAAAATATTTTTTTTGAAAAACGGATTACGAGAAACCGGCCTTTTGATTTTTTTTCACTTTTTTTTTATTTTTTTATTTTTCTCTACTTATTTTTTTTTTTTTTTAATTAAATAAATTACCCTGTTTTTTCGTTGTCTTTTTTAGCATTTTCTTATTGAACCTTTTTTTCATTTGATCAATTGAGCTTGATTGTCCTCT